TTACCAGCTTCCAGATTTTGTTCCACGAGAAAGCAGGCTGGCTGAGGAGAAGAGCTCTGAGCTTTATCCTACTGGTTAGGGAGTATTCTGGATGCACAAGCTGATCTCACTTGTGAAAATGGTTGCAAACTGTAAAACAAAACATTCTCAAACTAAATTCAACAATATATGAAATACATAAATGAGAAAAACATATCATAACCAGGTTGGCTTATCCAGAAATGCACAGTTGACTTTGCATTTGCAAATTAGTTAAAATAATTCATAACTGTAATAGAAAAAAGTGAGAAAAAATAATATAGCTGTAGAAAACACATTTGATAAGATTCAACATCCATTCTAGGAATAGAAGACAGTGCCCTATAGTCTGATAAAGAGTATCTACAGAACAGAGACAGCAAGCACCATTCCTCATGGTGAAATGTGGGAAACCTTCCCACTGCCCTGGAAACAATCCCTTGATGCTTGATATCGTCACTTCCTTTGGCATTGTAATCAAAGTCCCAGCCACTGCAGTAAACCAAGAAAAGGAGAGAAAAAAGAAAACTGCAGTTAGTCACAGATGATATGTATGAACATGGAGAAAATCCAAAAGAATCTATAGATAAGTTGTTCATGTGAATAGGTGAGTTTAGTAGAGTTGTTAGATACCTCCTTGGTATGTCCACATATGAACAAAAATAAAATGACTTTTTAAAAGGTAACATTGACAATAGTATCAGAAAACAATTAAGAAAATAAGTATAAACCTAATGAAAGATGTATCTGATCTCTACACAGAAAATTGTATTTAAAGATATTAAAGAAAACTTTGCAAATAAAGGGGTATTCCATGTCCAGGACTTAGAAGACTCAATATTACAAAGACATTTCTCCCCAGATGTGCCTATAGAGTCAGTGTCCACCAAAATACCACTGGGCTTTTTGTAGAGATCCGCTTGCTGAATCTAAGGTTCACTTAATATTGCCAAGTGCCAAGGATACCCAGACTCCTTGAAGAAGAGGTTGGAGGACTTGCTTCCTGCACATCAACACTTCCAATAAAGCTACAGTGATTAAGACAAGTACAAGGATAGACAGACACACTGACCAAACAGGAGAGGAAGTGCAGCACAAACCAGATGATAGATAGACGATAGGCAGATAGATAGATGATAGATATAGATAGATAGATAGATAGATAGATAGATAGATAGATAGATAGATGATAGAAAGATTAGATAGATATAGATAGATACATACATACATACATACATACATACATACATACACACACATATTTTGTTTATGACACAGGTGGCACTACAGAAAGGCTGGGGTTTTTTCAGTAAATATTTCCCTGGAATATGTGTTTGAAAAAGTGTGCATTGTGACCCTCTATCTGAAACAGCACACAAAGAGCCATTCCAGGTGGACTGTAGATCCACGTAAGGAAGGTAAAATAGTAACATTTGTAAGAGCAGCATCAAATGATATCTTCAAGAGCTTGGATGAGCAGAAATTTCTTAAAAATGGTGCAGAAAAGATCAACGATAAACAAGCCTACATAAAAATGAAGAACTCTGTTCTCCAAAAGACCCCATTCAGGAGTCCACAGCAGGGGGTTCAAAAAACTGATAAAGGGCTTGTATCCAGTCTCCCTTTCTCTCTCTCTCTCTCTCTCTCTCTCTCTCTCTCTCTCTCTCTCTCTCTAAGAAGAAGAAGAAGAAGAAGAAGAAGAAGAAGAAGAAGAAGAAGAAGAAGAAGAAGAAGAAGAAAATGTGAAGAATCATGATTTTTTTACAAAGAAAAAAAGCATCAAGGCTTTTCTTCACTACACTCATTATATAGTTGAGAAAACAAGGCCTAGGAGCTGGGAACTGAGATGTCCTAACTTTCAGCAAAATGCTTTTTCTTCAAAACTGAACAACATAAAGAACCAAGGAGAAAACAAAAGAACCATAGGATAACCTGAAAAAGTCTGTGACAAAAACACTCAGGACACTAGGAATCAAAGCGAATTCCCTCCACCAGATAAAAGGTCCCTAATAAAAGCCTGCAGCTATGTCACACTCGGTGGGAAAAGACAGAATGCTTCCCCCCAAGAACAGGAGCAAGACAAGGAAGCCTCTTCTCACCACTTCTATCCAATACGGTACTGGAAGTCCTGGGCAGAGCTATAAGGCAAGAAAAGGAAATAAAAATCATTCAAATATGAAAGGAAAAAGTGAAATTATCTCTATTTCTAGAGTACACGGTCTTGTAAATTTTAAAATGCACAGGAGTCCACAAAAAATCTACTAGAAGTCATAAACACATTCAGCATGTTTGCTGCGATCAGTACAGAAATGAGTTGCTTACTTCTATACATTAGCAGTGAACATTCTGAAAATTAAATTAGAAACTATTTCCATTTATAACAGTATTACAAAAAGAATAAAATATTTAGAAATAAGTTTAGCAAAAGAAGTGCAAGACTTGTTCACTGAAAACTACAGAACACTGTTGAAAGAAAGTAGAGGAGACTTACACACACAGAAAGACACCCGCTGGTGTTGGTGGTCCGGAAGACCCAGCCTTAAGGCAGTGACCGACGCTCCTCTGATCCATCTGCAGGTGCCAGGCCATCACCATGAAAAATCCCAGCTGGCTCCTCAGCAGAAACTGACAAGCTGATCCTAACACCCATGTAGAAGGACAAGAGACCAAAACAGCCAAAACAATCTTGAAAAACAGCAAAGTAGGCTGCCTCAGGACATACTACAAAGCTCCGGTATTCAAAACAGTGTGAAACTGGCATAAGGACTCACGCGTACACCAGTGACACAGAATTGAGAATCTAACTGATTTTCTAAATCAAGTGATATTCGCCAGGGTCCCAAAACAATTCTTAATGGGGAAAGAACTGTCTTTCCAACAAATGATGCTGGGACAACTGGAAAAAAATGAGGCTGGGCCCCTCCCTCACAGCTTTTAAAAAAATGACTCAAACTGGATCAAAGACTTGAATGTAAGCATAAAAACTACAAGTGTAGGAAAGAGCACAGATGTAACCTTGGGTTAGCCAATGTTTTCTTACAAAAGGTAGCAGCAGCTAAAGAAAAAATAGATAAATTAGACGTCTCAAAGTTAAAAACTTTTTTTTTGCTGCAAAGTACACTATCAAGAAAGTGAAAGATTGTCCCACAGAATGGAGAAAATACTGGCAATCAATTATCTTTTTTTTTGCTGCAAAGTACACTATCAAGAAAGTGAAAGATTGTCCCACAGAATGGAGAAAATACTGGCAATCAATTATCTGTAGACTACATAACAAACACACCTCAATAAAAAAGACAAATAACTCAGGATTTTGTAAATGGGCAAAGAATGAATGGATAAAGAGAAGAGGTCTACCTGGCCAATGGAATAGTATTTACTAATGAAAAGGGATATAGTACTGATGCTGAAAACGTGATGCTGAGCCAAAGAGGCCGGTCACAGAGAGCCTCCAGGTGTGGAGCCCACACATGTGAAATGCCCGAAACAGGCAGTGAGTGGTTGTGGAAGGATGGGGTGCAGTGCGGAACGCGGTGACTGCTAGTGGGTACAGGGCTCCTTTTGGGAGCGGTGGAAATGTTCCAAAATTAACTGTGCTGATAGTTGCCCAACTTTGTGACTATACTAAGAGCCCACCATTGTTCACTCTGAATAGGTGAACTGTATGGTATGCGAATTATTGCTCAATAAAGCTTTTATTTAAGAAAAAGAAGGCTGCGGTTTCCAAACTACAGATATGCAATAGGAAAGAGGATGTTTTTCAGGTTCATGAGTTTATGATGTAACACGGTCCTTACAATGTGACACTGTCCCAGGAATGTGTCTTTTTAAAGAGCTTTTAAAACCTCAGCACACCTCTCCCGGTGTCTGACCCCTGCGCCCTACCCTTCTTGCAGGCCCCCGGGGGTCACAGTCCCTCCGTCCAGGCGCGGGCTGGGCCGACGGGGCGGGCCAGCGGCTGCGGACCTGGGGCGTGTGCAGACACCGCCCTCCGCGGCCACCGATAGGTCCCACCCCACCTTGGCGACCTGCGGGCCGGGGCGGGGAGAGGCGGCGCCTGAGGCCGCGCGCACGGCCGGGAGCCCGGAGCCAGGACCCGCGCGGGAGGGATGTGGGCGCCTGGCGGCGCGCCGGGGCCCGCGGGCTGGGACCGCCGCAGGGTGGGAGCCCGGCTGCGCGCGGCGCTCGCGGGACTGCACGAGCTGCAGGGGCTGCGCGCCAGGCAGCAGGCGCGCGTGCGGGGCGCCCTGGCCATGCTCCCCGCGCCCGCGCCCCCAGCAACACGCGGCCCGCGCGCCCACGAGCTGCGGCTGGACGCGGCGCTGACTGCGCTGCAGGAGCAGCTGGTAAGGAGCGTGGGGCGCAGGGCGCAGGGCGGGTCCCAGCCCGGTGCTTCAGGGGAGCCGGGGCCTTTCGGGGGGCGCAGCGCGCCCGGAGGCCAGGCGCAGGTATCCCGGTCCCCATCCTGGTAGTGGCCGCGACTCAGTCCCACGCAGACGGCTTTGAGGGCGCGTTCCTGCGGCTCAGTGTGGCTCTGATAAGTCCGCATTGTATCGAGTTCCCCGGGTGGAGGGTCACTTGGGATCCTGGCATCATATGCCCCCTTTACCAAGTTGTCCTGCAGTGTAGGTTCAGGGACAGCCGTCGCGGGAAGCAGAGCGCGGTCGATTGTCCCCAGGAAGGATCTCAGGGTGAGTGGGGTCCTGTAATTGCAACAAAAATGTCGGGGAAAGCGTGTACCCCATGAGGACGGCTTCAGCTTTAAAATGAAACCTGACCTATAAAAAGAGGTGTGTCCTGGGACTCACGGGGTGGTAGACCCGGACCGCTCTGGTTTCTGCGCCATTGTCCGTCTTGTCTGCACTATTCGGCCGCCCCTGAATGCCAGCTCCTTTTCACAGGCTGGACGCCTCTCAGACGGCCGCTCCTGAGGTCAGTCCTCTGCTGTATGGGTTCATTTTGTGTATTGGAAGCAACTCGATGTTTCCAGTAGAACAGTGTTTATTAAAGGAAACATTTTTAAAAGGCTATCTAGGAAAACTTCTATTTAATGGAGTTAATTCTGCTACTCTGAGTGGAATTTCCTTTAAGTTGGAAATTCACATCCGCTCCGTTTCAAAGTTGCGTCTTTACAAAGTGGCCAAGATAGAGCTGCAGCCTGACCTTCTTAGCTCAGCCAGGCCGCTGGCTCCTAGCAGCCTCTGGGTTGCGGAGCTGCAAAGCCCAGGGTGCTGAGCTGCCTCCCGGACCCCTGCTATCTTCCCGCCCTGGCACATCCCGCAAAGAGCCTGGGCCTGCGGCTCCCCATGCCCAGAGGGAAGGAGCCGCCCTGGAGAAGAGCCCTCGCGCCCCGTTTCTCCAGTCGAGCAGCGCGCGGGCCGCCTACACGTCAGCACCCAGAGGGTCCTACGCCTGCTCCTCCGGGAGGCCACAGGGCCGCCGGGGTGCAGGCAGGCCGGGACTGCAGGGAGCTGCGGTGGGCCGCCGAGAACTGCTCTGTCAAAGGGGCAGGCGCAGGGCTGATGATTAACTTGGCACGAGGAATATACAAATCAGACCTGAGAGTACAGCCTCTAATTAAAGTAGCCTTTTGGAAAAGGAGATCAAACAGGTTTTCTGTTTAATTTGTTTTAATGTGGGGACCAGAAGGAACACGCAGACTTTGTCTTGAGACTTTGTTCTTGGAACGGATCATGTGATCAAACGAGAGGAGTAACTGACTTCGGGGGACACCCGCCCAGCGCGTGGCCTGACTCCAGCCTGACTCACACCCCCGCATCTCCTTACTGGGGGTCGGCAGCGACGCCGGCTCCGTAATGAGGGCGCAGCCCCCAGGCTCTCCTGTGCAGTCCGGCCGCGCACCTCGGTGACCCCCAGCTGGATGGGGCCCCGCCCCACCTGGGGCCGACCTGGTCATGGGTCTCCATTCAGGGGCAAGGCTGGAAGAACTGTCTGATCCTCCGCAGCTTTGTGCCGCGGGATTTCCCAAGTGGGAATGAGCGTGAGCATTTCTGGGATTTAAACTGCATTTAGGGAAGCAGCCGTGCCCATCACATGGACACTTAGCCAATGCGCCTCTGAAGTCCCGAAAGAGCGCACAGTAGGGGCTTGGTAGGTGTCTGTGAGCGGCTTTTACTGCCGTAACAGAAGGGAACATGGTTTCAGTATTTAAACGTCTCCCAGTTACAGATTTCGCAGCAAGTGAGACCCCATGAGCTCTGCCTAAAGCGACCGTTACTGCTGGGCCAGCCCCGTGCCCACTGGGTCATGCCCTCCGGGGGAATCCGTCACTCCCCGAGAAGTGGCCACGTCCCCACTTTCATACGGGTGAACGAGTGCGCCCTGGAACACTGACCTAGAAAGGCTCGGATGCCCTGGCAGGGCCTGGGGGCTCCGTCTCCCAGCAGGGGGTGCTGCTGGTGGGGGCCGTGCCACAGATGGAAGTGAAGAAAGGGCTCTGGGGACCCTGCAGTGAAATCTTACCCCGAAGAATTTCTCCGTGGTTGGCTTGGCTGGTCACAACTTGTTCTGCAAGTGACAGAGTGCAATGATTTCTTTTAACTGGCAGGTCCTGGCATTAAAGCACCACCTCTGTGGCTATAAACGTGAGGCAGCATTTCCCTGCTTGCTCTGCACTCACCAGGGAATGACTCAAGGTCACGAGGGAGGGCGAGACCCCGCAGGACCTGTAGGGCTTCCTCTCTGGGTCTCTCCTGCTTGTTATCCGGGAGGCTGATCGATGCCCCCAGGGCCTTTGCGACTGGTTCACCAACTTCTCTTCAAGTTAGGTAGTAACTTTACCTGCCTACAGGACACATGCAGCAAAATTAATGTTTTGAATGTTTCCTTTGCATATTCTCAGCTTTCAAGGAAATTTCAGGGCAGTTTTCATTTTTATCCTCTGCCTCCTCCATAAAGGTTTGAGAAGGCTGGAAAGCCGAATGTAGACGGGAACCAAGGCAAAGCAAGTGGCAATCATATCACTCTCCTCTGGTGTCAAAAGTAAAGAGTTCAGAGAAAGGGATCAGTTGAATATTTATTTTGAACGGCATTCCCAGGATAGAAATTCTCAGACTTTTTGTCATAAAAACCTCTGTGGTCCCTGGGACACTTGGTGAAATGCAGATTCCCAGAGAAGCCCTGGAGTCCCCATTGATGGGTGTGGCATGGAGCCCAGGAATCTGCATGTGCACCAGGTGATCCCTCCGCTGAGGAACCGTGGCCGGCAGGTTCTGACGCAGGGCGCAGCCCCGACAGCCTGAATGTTCGCAGCTAGGGCCACGCTGGCTCAGCGCTGACATTCCGTAACAGCGTGTTAACTGGAGAAACACAGGATATAGACGCTCACTCCTGGCACAGAAGGGCTTTTGTTGACGGTTAGCACAAAGTCGGATGTCAAGGAGTTAACGACAAGCAGAGCCATAAACACCTCGTGGGGGTGGGGCAGGGTCAAGGGGATTCCAATCCTGCAGGGCTGCAGGACGCAGTGAATCACCTGTGAGCACCCTGAGCCCGGATGGCTGTGGCCTCAGCATTAATCAGAAACTACCCGCTGGAGGCTGGCTGGCCAAACATTAATCTCAGTGCCGTTAATCTCAGCACGAGCATACAGGGGTGGGTTTTATGGACGGGGAGAAGGCGATGGGCAGGGGCAGGAAGGAAGCTACATTAGGGGTTCAGAGATGCCCCCCTTCAGACGAACGACAATGCCCTTATTTGGCAGAGACATCAACTACAGGTTTTTAAGCATTAAGCTGTGGGGGTGTGTCCCAGCAGAGGAACTTAATTTTCCACCCGTACCATGGTTTCATTTTATGCCAGGAAAAGAGAATGTCCTTTACAGTAAGAGCACCCACTGGCCCTCTGCTTGAGTCTGAGCGTTCCTTGCCATGGGTGGCAGCGAGCCAGAAGCCCGTTTCTGGGTATGCCATTCCGTGTGTCCCCCTGGCACTCCGTAAGGCTGTTCGCCTGGGCAACGTTTTCCCTTTGTAAGTTTGTGCAAGGTAAGAAGCCAGAGTGTTGGGCCAGTTGGGGTGATTCCAGGAGTGTAACGTTTTGAGTGAATTCAGGACTGCTTTTTGCCATGTCACGTTTATAGATAATTATTAACAATTATAAATAGTGTGGCCTCGAGACTCTGTTACTATCAAACTTATTTGTTCTGAAATAATAAATAAGTTTTATTCTGAGACCCCTGAATTGGGCTCTGGAGAAAAGTGGAGGTGAGCACAACGGTTGGTCACTCACCGGGCGCGGCGCGTTGGGGTCTGGGCCCGGCACCGGTTAACCTCACCTGGGGCGGCGTCAGAATTCCCTGTGCTGACCTAATTCTCTCATAGGAACCGGAAATTACTGCCACCTGCTTCTCTCTTGGACTGAGTTCTCCCACTTCTGAAATCACTGAAGGAATCCCCTGAGCCCATCTCAGGGGTGCAGCTCGGGGATTCCTCATTTCCTATAGAAAAATACAAACCAATCAGTTTCTTAAACAGGATGAACTGCATAATTACATTCATAATTATTCACCTTAGACTTAATTGTCAACCAAGACAAGACACTTAGGCAGCAGACTTGGAAACAGGGCAATGGTTTTACATGAAAGAAGGAAGTCGGCATTCATTAAACACTCAGTGCCAGTCGTTTTGCATCTGTTATTTATGAGTGTGTGTGTGAATATATCAGGAGCATTAACCACATGCATGTATTATAAGTGTAACATACAGTACACACACTCACACACACACACAGAGAACAATCCACTTTACAGGTGGGGAAGCTGAGGCCTGGAGAAGACAGAGGCTCTGCAGGCAGGGTGAGATGTGAACATGTGAACTGAAAGACCCTCGGGCAGAGTCCAGGCTGCGGCAGCTCTGGGTTCAATGGGCATCACCTCTTGCTATGTCCCCCACTCCCCCAACAGCCTGCAAAGCCTGTGACAGTTCAAAATGTCACTGTAATAAGGGACAGAGAGGAATATGGAGCAGAGGGGCCTTTTTTTCTCCTGTAGACTTACTTATGCCCTTGAGAAGTCATCCCAGGTGCATGGACCAGGGTCCACTGTGTGAGAGAATAGGCATACAGGCGGCAGACCCCAGGTCCATTCCGTGTGAGTGTGGAAAATGGATTCTCACACAGAAGTCAGAGAGCAACAGCTGGAAATTGTTCCCAGGTTCCCGCTGGAGAAAGTGGTGTTTTGGTGCTGCTGTGATCCTGATTTTACCTTATATGCTGTTTTACACTGTATCTGTATAAAGAAATGCCTAACTGAAAATGGTTGATTTAAAAAAGTCCTCAGTTTGAAAAAAAAAAACCTGTGGGGAAGAAGGGGTCACTAGACTTTCCTCAGGTGTCCCTGAGCAGTGGCCCTGCTTGGGTGCATGTGGGGCGCTGTGAGGTGGAGGGTGCCTGTGCACGTGTGGAGTGTCGACTGTATGCACACTGCAAACGTCGAAGGGAGCATACTCACAACAGTGCCGTTTCACGTTCCTTCCCTGCTCAGAACCACTTAAGGCACCAGGACATCGGCCTGAAAACCCACCTGGACCAGCTGGACCAGCAGATCAGCGAGCTGCAGCTGGGCATGCGCAGAACCTCCGCCGAGGGCCTGGACAGCGACAGCAGACCCAGCTCAGGTGCCCCAGGCCTGCCCGCCTGCGCTCAGGGTCAGGGTGGCACTGCAAAAGTGGGATTGTCTCCATCACCCCTCATGGGGACCCTGTCCCGCAAGGACCGGGGTCTGATGTGGTGAATGGTTCAGCCCGCCCCTGCCTCTACTCCCAGGCCAGCCTGGAGTCAGGAGCCAGACTGGACCCTGAAAACACACATTACTGGAGGGATGAAAATGAAAGGCTTTTCTTCTTTATTTAAATGTGCTTAGGAAAGAAGAGGGCGGGAAGGATAGATTGATGTTTTAACTGGAAAGTATTGCTTTGAATGGAAAACGTCCCCAAGAGTTTCTCACCGCGCTCTGGGCTGAGACAGATTCTGGGTTCTGTTTAGGATTGACATGGACACTGTGACTAACAGTTTTAGGAAACTGCAGAAGTATTTCTTTTTTAAGTCTATGAGCTTTTTCAGTGTGAAATCCATATAATTTGTCAGGGAAGACAGCAAGCATGTAGTGTGCTTCCCTGCTGCCCTTTGCCCTCCAACCTTAAGGGTCATGTCCAGATGATCAGAGTCTCCCTGACACTGATGACTGATGGTCCAGCCACGGACCCCCTTCCACACCCTGGTCAGACACTGGTTTGGATGGCAGACTCTGGAGACCAGTGTCTCTCGGGGTGCAGCACTGTCTCTTTTGTAAATCTGGAAAATCATGTCTCGGTCTGGGTTCATACACGTCCCAGGTCCAGGAGGGAGAACTACCCCGAAATACTGCCCTTTCTCTGACTGACACTTGAGATGAGCTATGTGGGCACTAGGCAGGGATGGAGAAAGAGGCCAGGGGCCTGTCATCCAAGGGTTGGAAGCTTGAGATCACAGAGGGTGAAAGGAACCACTTGCTCAAGAAAGGGCTGAGCAGTGGGGCTTAGCTGGCACGGGTTCCCAGTGGCCCTTACAGGGTGAGTGGACGCAGCGGAGGTCCTTGGCATTGCAGGCCACCCACTCCTGGGGTGCCTTGATGAGGCCACGCAGACCCCTCAACAGAGGGGCCCCCATGGGCTGGAACTGGCCTGCTGCCTGGACGCCCACTGACCGCCCCTGCCACCCTGCCTAGGCTTCTACGAGCTGAGCGACGGCGGCTCCTGCTCCCTGTCTGCCTCCTGCACATCCGTATGCAGTGACCGTGTGTCCTCCCTGAGCACCTTGCTGCCCACCACCCTGACCTCCCGGCCCAGTGTAGGGGACTGCCGGCCCCGCTCAGCTGACGAGACCACAGTACACGGGGCTCCCCTGTCTGCCTGGAGACCCCAGGCCGCCGAGGAGGGCTCAGCCAGACCCAGGCCGGTGTCCACAGGTAAAGGAGAGCCAGGAAGGACAGAAGATGCCATCCTGGGTGGGGGGAGGGGAGGGAGCAGCTGTGGGGTGCAGCACCCCATGTCCCATCCCGGGCAGTGGGGGACTGCTGGGGGCAACCCCCACACTGCCGGGCACAGAGCAGGGAAGCCTTGTGTCGGGGTGGCCAGTGCTGACCCCACAGGTACCTCCACACTTTCTGCAGGTCTGCTTCATTTGGGGATGGAGGTAGGAATCAAATGTCCACCTCTGCTCATTGTAGCAGGGCTGTTGTAATAAAGAGCATTTTTCTTATTATTTAAAATGGGCATCAGAAAGGTCTTTAAAAACCTTTCCAAAGCCCCCACACAGCTTGACTGGCACCTGCCTGTGACTGTAGTGGGCACAGCATGGACCACGTCCTGGAGGTTGTTCAGAGCACATGCACCTTCCTCTCTAAGGCCCAGGGATCAACCTCTATTTTTCTTCAACTGATTCAAAATAAGAAAGTTCATTGATTTTAATATAAGACCTGGCTTAGTAATGCCGCTCAATCGTACTGAGCGTGTCAAGCGTTCCACCTGCCTCCTTGTGCCCACCTCCGGGGAGGTTTGCTCCAAGACCTCGTCCACCGTCCGACCTCACCGGCATTCTCCACGTCTTGGGGGATGAGAGCATTGGGCTGGCACGCCTGAGTCTTTGGTGCTCTCACTGAAGTGGAGTGGCTGGCACTGGGTGCTGGAATCTGGGCACATGCAAGGCTGTGGCGCACATACTTTAATGTCATGTCCTTGGAGCCAGTGGGACATTTTTCTGCTGCCTGGGCACATAGCTGTCCGGAAATGGCACTGGAGCTGCCTTAGGTTCATCGCTGATCCGCGCTTGTCCTTATTTCTCATCCCCAGGTGACCTGGAACGAGTCATAGCGGCCGAGGTGGGCCTCCAGAAAGCCAGCGCAGGACCCAGGCCTGCTTCTCACCTCTGCCACGTGCTGGACCCCAAGTACCAGCAAGACCTGGTGTCCAAAGGTGGCAGGGAGGCATACCTGTACCCCAGCCCCCTGCATGCCGTGGCCCTGCAGAGCCCTCTCTTCGCTCTGACCAGGGAGACCCCACAGAGGGACAGTCCCTCGCCCCCTAGGGAGCCCCCTCCCGGCTCCCCAGGCCCAAGCTCCATCCAGACCCCACAGATCCTTCAGGCTGGCCCAGCCGCAGCCTATATAGACAGGCTGCTGCGGCTGCGGGGCCACAGGATGCCCCCAAGGGCCAGTGCGGGTGAGCAGGAACCCACAGGGCACCAGGGGCCCCCGTGCCTGAAGGAGCCCAGCGGCCAGAGAGCAGACAGCAAGGGCAGCCCGCAGAAGCTGGCCTGCAGCCCGGGGAGCGTGGGAGCTGGAGGGGTGGCTCCAAGGGGGGACGCTGGCAGGGACAGCCTCGAGCAGTGGGGCCCTGCTCTCCTTGTGGGCGCCCCCCGCCCCAGCAGCCTCCCAGAGGAGGGGCCCAAGCCCTCAAGTGGCTGTACACGTGGGGAGAGCATTCCAGGCGCCCCTCAGCCGGGCTCCTGGGCCCCCCGGGCAGCTCTCAGCTGCCAGAAAGGCACCGCCATCTCCCTGGCAGGCAAGGCGGGCAGGGACAGCCCCGCGCTGGCCCCCCATCACCCTGCCTGCACTCCCGTCGTGGCTGGTGCAGGGCTGAAAACAGGCCACCCCAAAAAAAAGGCTGTGAAGATCAAGAAGGGGGCCGGGGACCTGGCCCTGAGATCTGGGAGGCAGCGACCACCCCAGGGCACCCCTGCAGCCCCCCAGCTGCCCCCCGAGTGGGGGCTTGGTCTCAGGAGGGGACCCACCCTGGCTGGGGAGACACCCGGCCGCTCCTGCTCTGAGCCCAGACTCTACCCGATGCCCTTCCTCATCCCCCTGCTGGTGGCCTGCCGGGAGGGCCACCGGGCGTCGGCCCAGGCCCTGCTCCCCTTGGAGGCAGCCCCCCTCCCTCTCGCCACGGCTGGCAGGGAGACCAGGGGGAAGCAGTTCAGGTGGCTGTCAGCGGTGGAGGTCTCTGCCAGGGCACGACCAGCTGGCATCCCTGAGCCCAGCCTGGCGCCCCGCCGGCCCATGGCAAGGAGAGGGGGTGGCCTGCGACTGCGACCTTTATGTGCCCGGGCCAGGTCCCAGTTGCCCTGCCGGGGCGGCCATGCCAGCAGCGAGTCGGATGGCTCAGAGCACTCGGCTGAGTGTGTGTCTCTGCTCCGCTCCACCATTGCTGAGACCAGTGAGGACCAGGCCAGCGATCACACCACCAGCCGCTTTGGGGACGGGGAGTCCAGCGGCAGTGACCTGGAGGGTGGTGCCCGGGGCAGTGGGCACAGCCTGGCCTGGCCTCGGGCCACCCCCCAACAGCCCCCACCGGCCCCCGCCAGGTCCAGGTCACTCCTGCCTCTGGTGCCAAAACTGTGCCGCATCAAAGCATCCAAGGCCCTGAAGAAGAAGATCCGCAGGTCCCAGCCGGCCACACTGAAGGTCATGACCATGGTGTAAGCCTGCAGGGGAAGAACAGCATCCCCAGCCCCGGCCAGGGGACAGGCCTTCCAGGAGAAGCTGTCCCTTGTGGAACCACAGACATGGGGCACACTGCAGGCACAAAGGGGCCTTCTGTGGCCGTGGGCCAAAGCAGGCTCTACCCGGCTGTTACCGTGGGTGTGGGCCTGGGGTCATCTCGCCAGTTTGCTTTATCTCCCAAGTCCCTCAGAAGGGATGGTGAGTGGGTCCCCTGGGCACCCCCGGGTCACTGTAACAGTGGGGGTGCATTTGCCCATCCCAGTAGAGACCTCCCTAGAGAATGCCAAAGCAGATTTTACCACCATCCCCAACATCTCTGCTCTCCTTTGTCAGCATCTTCCCAGGACGGGCAGCTGTCAGGCAGGCCCCTCAGATGCCTGGGCCCCTGTCCTCAGGGCTGCTTTCTCTGCCAGCTGGGCAGTGTCTGCCCACCCTTTTAAGCCACTCCTCCCACAAAACCTTCTCTGTAAGACAGAGTCACAGGACTGGGTACTGGAGATTGGGCGGGGGCATGAATCACAGGTGAAGCCCTCCATGTGAATGGATGCCCAGATCACGCTGTGATCTTCACCTCCACCTCCCTCGTGCCACCCTGCTGGCATGAAGCAGGTGTTCCGGGTCCCCTCCAACCATCATGTAGGGCCCTCCCCAGAGGTGGGAAGATGCACATCATGTGAGTCCGGTCCAAACTCTGGTTCCAGCACACAAGTTGAGAATAAAAGTGTTTTTGAAAAAAATAACATTTTTTTCAGTGTTTATTTTTCAAAGAAATGTCCATTTTCTGCCCAAGGAGAAAGTTGAATTTTCAGGGAAGCTGTCTGCTCAGATAGCAGCATTTATGTCCATCAAGTCAGCTTTATCCTGAATCCTCCCAGGCTTCTGCAAATTGCGCCGCTGAGCCTGGGAGTGGGACTTCCTCAAACCCTCTCAGGTGCTCCATGCACAGTTGACAGGAAATTTTGAAAGAAAAACAACCAAAATATTAGTAGATTTATAGATATTTGTGTAACAGGAAGCTAATTTCAGGGTGCAATTTAAAGACATTAACATTTTAGAACAAAGAAGTTGACCTGCAAAAGATGAGAGGCGGCTGAGGTTTCTGAAAGTGAAGACAGGATGGACGGGCTCTTTTCTGTAAAACCTCAAAAATTCAGTTATTTCAAAGGGCCTAGAGCAGACTTTGAAATTCAGGCATTCCCTGGAGTCTGTCTGGATGGAATTCCCCCTTGCACTTCATGGAATTTGCCTGATAACAGGAAAGGGTCTTCTTAAGCTCTTAAAAACTTTATTGATATTTAAAGAAAAATTCAAACTCACCCATGATGGGGGTTTCACTGGAAAAGTTATTAGGCAGGATAATGTGCTAAAATGGACTAATTCTCATCCGTGTGGTCAGGAGGTGGTGGGAACCTGGTTCTGGCAGGAACCCTTCTCAGGCGAGGCTCCTGGGACAGGGTGAGGAGTCCAGGCCCTCACCTCCATCCACGTGGACTCCACAGCCGAGTCCCTAGCTGGCCATTCTGGGGAGACAGCAAGAGGTTTCATTCATGTAGTCCCTTCGGCTCTCTTTCATGTCATCTCTGGTACTTACTGGAGCTTTACACAGTTAGGGGTTCACATGCAGCATTTGGACAATGCAGACTTCCCCCCACCCCTTCATGATAATAGGCCCTGTCTTTGTCTTCCAGGATAGGAAACTCAATCTACCTGTCTCTTGCCAAGATCGTGTAGAATCAGTGTTGTGGGGAAGGTGTTGGGTTTGGGCCTCTTGAGGGTTCCGGACAGCATTTATCTTTCTCCAAAACCAGGCTTGATTTACTAATGATTCAGGTTCCAAAAGCAGCAGATGGGAATGCACTCCCACCCATCGGATCCCGGGGCTTGAGTTGGCAACCAGGAAACTTAAGGGAGCAGACTGGCCAACAGAGTAGGCAAGACTCCAAACAAAAGAGCCAGCATGGTGAGCTCATGCACAGCAGGGTCCTCAGAGTCAAATAAACCAGCCATGGCCTCCCTCCCTCCCTGCCTGCGTCTCCTTCCCTCTGTCTCTGTCTTTGCCTCCCCAACCCCTGTCAACCCTGAGGGCCCAGACACCCACTCCCATCCCCCTGGCGCCCCAGGCTGCCTGCTTGCTGGTGCTCTGCACTGACTCCCAGGCAGGACTAGGGTAAATAAATACAGTTCTAGGTGCCTTGCTCCCCCAGTGACTCAGCAGCAGGACTCAGCTTAGGACCCGGTCCCGCCGGGCCATGAGCAGTCACGGGGCCCCAGCCATCTCCACAGCCTCCGGGCTTCCTCCCTCTTTTACAAAACAAGGTCATCAGTACCTCGGGTTTGGCACAAGGAGTAAGACAGTGTTGAGAGCGGCCCGGCTGGCCCCTAGATGAGGAGCATGAGGAAAGGCGGGAGGGCTCGGCACCACAGGACACACAGCGAAGTGGCTCACGGCCCAGAGGGTCACCGTCATGATCACGTCACGGTGACATCACGGAGGAGGGCGAGGGCAGGGAAGAAGCAGGCCAGTTGGGCTCTCTGGAGGTGGGTGGTCAACACGGTCTTCTGTGAGCATCAGCCAGGCCACCAGGAGGGGCCAGGGGCCGGGGTGTCAGGGCACCAGGGCTCTTTGAGGAGATGCTTTAGAACCAGTTAAAATTCAGAGCATCGATGATAAGAAGGCGATCTGAGTCAGTCCACAATGGAGCCCTAAATTTCAAAGCAGAGTCTTATGCCCTGAGTTCAGGAAAGAAGGTATTTAAGGAAGGGAGGTGGTCCAGGGCAGCATGTGTAGAACATGAGACCCTCAGCGTTCAACCTCATAGCCGCCTGTTTTGTGTAATTAGCATATGTTCCTCGGAGCGAAGAGAAAGCACCGTGGGCGACTCACCCGCACAGAAGGGGCCATGGGTCCGTGCCACGTGTGGGGCCAGTGCCTCCTGCTCATCAAAGACAGATGAGCCATTTTTATCCCCAAAGCGTTTTTTTTTAATAACTTACAATTTGACTTTTTGGAGCATTAGAAATCATTTATAACTCCCAGGATGATTGACATAAGAACATTTTAGCAAAAAAATGAAAAAAGGATAAACTAGTTCTAAGTATCAAACTCAAGCTAAATTAAATATATGAGGATCACTAAATTATAAGAATTACAAAACTGTTTAATTATGTCAGAGAAAATGCCCCACATAGGTTAGCAAATCCCACTGTGCTATTTAAGGAAACAAAATGTTCATCTTTTACTATGGACTGAAAGTGTGAGTTCCCCCAGATCCCATATGGAAGCCCTGACCGCAAGGTGACGGTGTCTGAGGGGGGTCTCAGCAGGTGGTTGCAGTGAGCGAGTCATAACACTGGGCCCTGGACTCATGGGGTTAAAGCGGGAGGCACCTGAGTACACAGTGAGGGGCCGCACGTGCAAGTGGACAGAGAAGGCCTTAGAAGGGCCCAGCCCCATGGTGCCTCCAGACCGCGAGGGGCAAGTGTTTCATCCAAGCCGCCCCTCCAAGCTCCAGGCAGAAAGCGGGATGTGCAGACAGCAGTTAGGACCGTAGGGGAAAGATGCTCACTCCGGCCAGTCACTTTTCCTACTAGCAGGAGGAGAGCTGGGGCACCAACTGGAGCTGTGTCTTCACTGAGCCCCTGCTGTATACAGGAACTGCACTCGCTGCTGTGGGCAGGACACTCTGTCTGGTTGGCAAAAATGGATGAAAAGTAGGACAATTAACGTACCCTGAGGAGGTGGCCAGCAGGTGGGGCTGGGGCCGGAGCAGAGGGAACGGAGGCTGCCTGTGAAGGAGAGCGTCCGGGGCGATGTCTGGAGGGACAGCAGGTACCCAGGGCTGGGGTGAAAGCCAGGCTGACCAGTCCTGGGTGGGAACCTGGTGGGCAGGGAGTCCAGGAGAGTCCATACCCTGCAGATACGTAGAGAGGAAAGCAATGGAAGCCCCCACACAAGAACCGGACCTCAGTTAGGGACAGACCCTTGGGGGGCAGGGGCCCTGGGGGACACTCGTGGGGCTCAGGCTGCCCAGGCAGGTGGCCTGGCTGCCACTGGGCTGCTAGGAGTGGCCTCCCCTGTGGTCAGTGACAGGGGCACACCTGGCTTTCTCTGGCTGGTTCCAAGTAGGGACAGAAGTAGGGCAGCGACAATATTGATCCCGTCCCGGGACTGGGGCCAGGTGGCCCAGGTGCTGCTCGGCTTCCTGGACTGTCCCTGGAGACAGAAGCCTGGCCCTGCAAGGCTGACACAGGCCACTGGCTCCCTGAGGTTCCCTGTGAGGAGGGTTGTATCCTGGGCAGGTCCCTGCAGGCTGCGTCAGAGCTCCGCTTGGACACGGGGCCTGGCGTCATCCAGTCCCTCAGATGCGAGAGGAGCCTGATTCGGCTTGGGGCTGGAAAGGCCTCTCGTCCAGCTGGGCTGAGACTGGCCAGGCAGCCATGGTGCCCACCAGGGGCTTACACGTGGGGCCAGTGCCGAGGGGAGAGGGGCTGAGATGTCCCATGGATGACAAGACACCTAATTCGTGGCTGTCCTGGGGCTCCTTGCAGAAGGCAGAGAGCAGCAGTGACCCAGAAGGCAAAGGAAACAGGGAGGTTTCCCAGCAAAGCCCATTTACACCAGGGAGAAATGAGAATTCCTCCTGAGATAAGAAAACATTCTTGTTCTTAGGAAGAGCACCCTTGTACAAATAAGAATGTTCGAATCAGTATTTCTATTGTAAATTTTTCATTCTATTTTATTTCCCCATTTATGTCTCTTTCTGCCATGGTCCCCTAACCAAGGGTAGAATACGGAGGAGACCAAACAACAAACATTAACTTTAGTATAATTGGCTTTCATCTTCCTGGTTATTCTCCCCCCATCTCTATGCCCTTGTCCCATCTGGGACATATGGTGGAACTTCAGATTTCGTTTCCTGTGACGCACTTCGCCACCTGGGTGGCAGTGACAGTGACACCCCAGTGGGGGTAGTTCTATCAGCCCCAGCTGATATTTTGGCTTTTCCCCCAACAACAGACTCATGGCTGCACATCCAGAGTGGACATCCTGCTGACGGAGGCACTTGTGCAGAGGAGGAGGAGAATGACCGGACGTGTCTCGAGATTCAGACGAGCAGAGCTTGCGCAGGGGCCTCTGCGTGGAGTCTGTGAAGTGTCTACTTTGCTGCATGGAGGGTCTTGTTCTGATCCTAAGGAATGCGTAGGCTCGCTGTGCTGAATAAACTCGCTCTGACTCCCTCACTGATGCTTAGACCACTAATCTTGCTTATTAAAGTGCTGGGCACTGGCTGATCCTCAAGCCGAGGAGGAGGATTTCTGCCCTTGCCCAAACAGTCCTGGCACTGACTGGTCCTTAAGGAAAAGGAAACGGATGCTCAGCAGTTCTTTGAAAGCCCCGGCACTCCCGGTCTGCAACTCTGGAAACCCTTCTAGGAGCACCAATCCGAGCTGCCTCTAGCTGACAGCCTGTCTGCGTGCCTCTGGAAACTGGGTGTCTTGCTCCTTCCGTCCTGGAAGAGAGAACTGCGTTTAACCCCTGCTTCAGGGCACCCAACAGTCCTCTTGCTTTTAGATGGTTTTACTGGGTCTCTACTACCTAATGTGCATTGGCCCCATGGGATCTTCCTCCAATGGCAGGTTTTTGTCTGACGTAGAAATAAGCTATTGCAAAAGCACCAAGATACAGAGTGCTCAGCATGTTTATGGCATTGGAGCATATGGATAATGCCTCATGGTG